GTGAATCCATTAGTCAAATCATTTTTAAGACATGAAGTTAATAGATATCAGAAAAAATTAAAATACCAATGAAAAAGTTTACCTTTATTTAAAAATTCCTTATATGATACAGATATGACTAATCAGGAAACTCAAACCCAAGATACTGTCCTGACCTGTAATCGGACACATAAGTGCTCTTGCTTTGCATGTGAGGAGGTGATCAATTCTAGAGTTAAAAAAGAGTTAGATAGTTTATCCCTACAATTGCTTGAATACAATGAAAAAACTTTTGACCCTTTTATACAAGAAATTACTAAACAGCTTGAGGAGCAAATTAATGCTAATAATAAGTAGTAAGTACATCTCTGTATCTCATTTTATTCGTCTAATTTTAAAGGGGTATCCCAGCCTTTCCTTATATAATGGGGATCTTCTTTCACTCTGGTTAAATTGAATTCTCGACCTTGCAGATTTTTATCAAGTATATCAACGGCATTACGCCATTATTGATTCATTTTTCATGTGATTACGTATTACGTGTAAACTTATTTAATTGTCAGAAGATCTTGGTTTTTTTTGGAAATTTTCTGATTACAAACCAGTGGTCGTTAGTGCTTGAAGATTCATTCTTACAACTTAATTGGTCAGACGAGGCAAAAATTAATACATATACGAGAAGACCTTTTCAACCACGTCTTATTGAGGAAGTAGTACTTGCCTATTTAAACGGTGATACCTCAACTCAACGTTGCACAAGTGACTTTCCCGATCGAGCTATCATTCAACAGCTAATTCCTAACAGCAATAAAGTTTTTCGTGTGGTCGTAGGTATAAGAGGGGATCCTTGGACTATAATAAGTTTCTATAGTTCGTCGGCGCGTCGGTACTGGGATAAGAATGTCTATGAATCCGATTAAGTAAGTTAACTTTCTTGAACTTTTTGTTATTTATAAATATTAACCAAAAATTACCTATTATATAGAAAATTTTTCAAAAAAATTAAACACAAAAAGAAGGTACGAAAAATTTAAGCTTAAGTTTGGAGGATTTGATTTATTTTTTTTATATCCTTATTCCACATCTTGTCATGAATATTTTAGCATGATAAACAAAAAACCATGACAGAACATGATAAACAAGAACCCTTGGCAAAGTACGATAAACATTACTCCGACTTAGACAGGCTTGCAATATTTGTTATTCAAATTTTAAAATAAATATGGAGCTTCGCATTTTTTTAACGTTGTATTTATTTAAGGTTCATTGCGAATTTCACATACTATGATGATACAAATGCGCTTGTAGTAAATTTTACAGAGGAACCCGATGAGCTTGCCGAAGATGCAACTAAATACATTCTCGTATATTACAATCAGACTGACAAGATAATGGCAATTCGTATAGATTCACCAACAATATGTATTCGAGGGATAACGAATGACAAGCCATCCTTTACACTTAACCCCACTTATGATGAGGAACGCGACATATTTAAAATTAACTTTGCAGATTCCATTTCCATGACTACATTCCAAAAAACTGATGTTGAGGATGTCGAGATAGAAATAGATGATGAAGGAAAACTCGTTGCAATATTATTCCACAATGCAAATATCAAGATGGCAAACATGTGTGTAAAGTAGCGGGGAAGAAAATCAGAAATATCATTTTATAACCATTTATTAAAAAAAAATTTGCTTTGTATAGTAAATATGTATATGTAACTTCAATAATGTAATAAAAAAATAAAACAATGCACATATGATTATAATTTTCACGAAGGTGCTTTCTTTTGTGATCCGTAATGCATTTAAAGTTTTAAGTTTACTCAATAAGACCCAATTCTCGAAGATTTTCAGGAATAACTATATATGGGTCTTCGAAGGTCTTTTTCTTCACATCTTGAGTTGATCCCATGCGTGAAAGAATTTGATATATTTTTGTGTTGTGACCCTCTGAACCTTAATCGCGAAACCATTATATCAAAAAATGGCAGGAAAAATTATGATTTAACAATCTGCTTGTCTCATTCATCTAATTTCAGTGGCGTATCCCAACCGAGTCTAACTGCGAGAGCATCGTCTACTGACTTAGTGAAATCAAAGATCACAAAACTTCGATCTCGTAAATGCTTATCAATAATCTTAGATGCTTTTTTTGGATCATCTGTATATTGGCGCACGATTCTGCATATGTCTTCTCGACTTCCACTGCCCCGGGAATTGGGAAAACATTCTTCGGTTATTACCTGCTTTGTCAACTTGCAAAACAAAATAAAACGGTTGTATATCACAAACACAATCAGCCTCCGATTCTCTTTAACAAGGAAGAAGCTTTCAGTATTTCCATAGACAATGTTTATGAATTCGGAGTTTACCTGAATAATTATGATGTTTGGTATATTGTTGATGGCAGGGAGCCAATGGATTTTGTCGCCAGGACAATTATAATCTGTTCGCCTCAAAAGTGATACTATAATACATTTGATAAACAAGGAACAACTATTCGATACATTCCATTGCGGTCTTGGGCAGAGACTGATACGTGTAGGAATGCGATTTTCCCTTATCTTACCCAAAAGAATGTTTTGGAATTATACAAAAAATGGGGTGGAATTCCTCGCTTTACCTTGTTTTATGCTCTCAATATTTCTCAGCAAGAACTCCTTGAGAAGGCAATTAATTCAGTTAACGATAAGATATTAAGTTTCGTTGGTGAAACCGTAGAGGACAATAGCGCCAATCACAAAATTGTCCAAACGTACCGCAAGTGGGAGAGGAAGTAGAGGAAACAGAGGAAATAAGTGAAGTAGAAGATTCTGGAGAACCTTCTCCTGCAATAATTAGCCCAAACAAAAATAATGAAGAAGTACCCTTCTATACATTGTCAATTTAAAGTTTGCATCCGATTATGTTTCTGGTAAGGTAATAGATGTACTCAAAACTAACTCCAGGGAACATTTGCTGAATTTCGTGCAAGCTAGCGGATCAATAAATGATTACAGTACACTCTGGGGTGCTATATTTGAGCGGATCGCTCATGGAACCTTACTAAACGGAGAACCATTTTAGTTTCGCCCTTTATTTGAATAAAAAAAAATGTCTCTTGCTTCGGGATGAATAATCATGATTTCAAACTAAAAATACCTATCTGGACAAAATTGTTTAGCAATCCTAACGAGGTTGTACAAGGCATATACTGTATACCAACTCAAAAAAAACAATGCACCTTTCGATACATTTGTTTCTCCCAATACATTTTTCATCCCATCATCAAGAGTGGCTTGGAAAAATATTATTAACCAGAATGAAAATTCAGATATCGATTTTTATTTTGTTCTACCAAAAGAATTGTATGACTTTTACAAACAACAGGATCTTCACAACTGTTGGCATAATTCGTTTCAAACAATATGCTCTGGAACTTGACCTGAAGTTGTAGTTTGTATTAGAAGGGTAGATAGTTATCAATTATATTCTCACATGAAATCGTGAATTCGGTTCATAATGATTCTTTTTTTTATATTCAAAAATGAAATATGCATTACATTTAGCGCCATTATTCTAATAAAATAAATAAATAAATTTGACACAAAATATTTGCTCTTTTTGATAATATTTTTAACAACAAAGGAAAAGAATTAAAACATTTTCTGCATCATTTATTTCTAATTATTCACATTAGTTTTGGCCAATATGTCACGTGCTTAATGCATAATCGTAGCCCGAGAATGAGTCAACCACAGTATGTAGACTTCTGTATTATAATATTCCTGGATTTTGTCCGAACGCCAAGGAATTGCAAAAAAAATATCAAGATGAAGGGTTCCGAAGTTTTCAATTGCGGGATATTGCAAAATGGTTAGGGTATCAATATAGCTATCAAATTTATCGACATCCATTACCTTGTAAAGCTGAGGCGAGTTTTTCAAAAATTAAGATTCCGAACAAAGTCCATCAATGCGATATATTGCTCCATACTCACGATGATCAGAATGGTAGAAGGGTATTCGTTTGTAGTTTTCTAGTCATAGATGTGGCAACACGTTTTAAGGCCGGACGTTCATTAACATCAAGAAATAGTCTAGAAATTTGGAACGCGGTCAAAGAAATATATGAGGATCCATCTAACCCTCTCATATGGCCAACATTATTAATGGCTGACGGTGATGCTTCGTTCCGAGGTGCATTTTCACGAGGGATGCAACAGTACAATGTCACTATACGTGTTGTCTATCTTTATAGTTTTGAGAGCTTGGCTTTTATTAAAGCACTCAAGAAAAATTTGGCAAAACTAATATATAAGGTCCAATACGCTATAGAAGGGCGATTAACTGAAGGAGAATGTTCAAGGCTCTGGAATAAAATCCTTCAAAAGTACATCGATTTTATGAATAATAACAGGACTCGTCTTATCGGAATGTCACCAGCTCGTGCTATGACTTTGGATGAAGTTGAATCGAGACCCTCTAGTAAAGCTAAGCGGGCAATTGGGCGATACGAAGAGATAAAGTTAAAAAAGGGTACAGCGGTTAAGTATCTATTGAAACCTGGCGAACTGGAAGGTGATCACAGGCATCGGGCAACTGATCCGTACTTGTCGTTACGTGTCTACAGAATAAAAAGAATCGTTGTTGGAAGAAATCCACCACACCAGTCTTATATTATCTCGAGGGTGAACTCATTGAATCAACTGCCCATCTGATGGGGGCGAAATCCAAAAAGACCCTTTAAATATGAGGAACTTCAAGTAATTGAGGAACCTTATAAAATCGAGTATCCACCCGATGGATTTATGCGAAAATATCATCCTACTGGATTGGTCCATTATATTCAAATTACTAATGATAATTTAACCGAAGCCCAACAATATGCTGAAAAACGTGGTGGTCAATGCCTAGGAAGGACCGGGCGAATAAATGGACATAATGTATATCTTTGGTCTTGTGAGAATGGTGCGCATCAGTGGGAGTATCCACTAAAATATATCATGAAAAAATTCGAGTGGTGTCCTCTATGCGACCATACAAGCGGTGAGCGCAAGTGTCGATATATTTTTGAAGATTTGCTAGGCAAGAAATTTCCACCGTCCAGGGATTACACTTGGATGGGTATAACGAGGAATTACGTCTTGCATTCGAATATCAGGGTCCTTAACGCTATCATCACAATAGTCTGTATCATCGGGAGAATGAAACTTTAGAAATACAAAAGAAACGTAATTAGAAGCGGGATATTTGCAAGCAAGATATATGCCTTATCGAAGTTCCCTTTACTGTTGATCTTTTTCCTTATATTAAGCATACACTTATCGGAAAAGGATTCTTGAGTAATTCTTCAAGTTAGGTCAGAGATAATTATTTTCTTGGTATTTTCCGAGACGGGCCGTCCCAGAATTTTTTTGACATTTTAGTATATCATTAGTAATAGTTAGTTTGACATGAAAATAAATAAACTTGAGCCAGTTGAAAGGCTTATATACCATATTAACGAAATTAAAGATGCCCAAAAATACAATGCTAATTCCAGTGTTCCCCAATGGCCTTTCACATTACTAATTAGTGGCCGTACTAATTCGGGGAAAACTAATGAGGTTCTCAATCTCATGCTCGGAAATAAGCTTTATCGAATGTTTAATGGGAAGAGAGGAGGGACTCGCTATATCAAGTGTGATGATTTACTACTCACCGAAATATATGTACCTCAAATCGGCATTCCAGATAATTGCAAATAGTCCGAAGCCATACCGTGAAAATATTACATTCCGAGCTTTGAAGCCTGATAAAATCCCTAAAGTGGATTCATTTTCTCCGGATAGAGGCACAGCGACTATTTTCGAAGATGTATGTGCTGGTCCGAAAAAAGTGCAGGAGAAAATCGTCCCTTATTTTGTTGAGGGGCGACACTATAACATCAGTTCGATATATGTATCCCAGAGTTACTTTGACTGCCCAAAGATAATACGAAAAAATCTCACACATGTCTGCCTATTTAATGGTCGTGCACTACAGATGAGCTAGTTTAATGACTGGCGTAGTGTGATTAAGATTATTGATAAGCATTAATGTGAGCAAAAATTCATTGTTTTTGATCTAACTGTACCTCGCGAGCATCCACACAGGGTACGTCTTGGTTGGGACCAAATTCTTGAAAAAAAAAATACCCAAACTAATGAGTAGAATCCTCCCTCAAAGCTATTGATGAAGTGAGACGAAATGTATATTTTTTCCGGACTTCTAGGTCATATTCAGACTCGCTACGCCTCTTCACCCATAATTTCCTTTCATAAGTGCTGGAATATATTTCCGGTTCTATATTTATATCACTATATCTTGTGTAAGAAGAGATCTTATTAGCAAGAGCGATAATTTTCCTATCCTTAGCAGAAATAATATCTTCCAGATGCCGGCATTTATTTTCTAACATATCAATACAATTTTCTGCTGATGCAATAGCTTTCTTTGTATCATGAATTATATCTTTGAAAAAGGTAACCGAAGAGCTTAATTGAGTAATTTTTTCACCACTTTCCTCTAAAGACTTTGGCCATAGATCACTCACGTGATTTATATTGGTCTTGACAGGTCTTCAATCTTTTTTTCCATTTCTTGCTTCAATATACGCAACTCCTCGTTCTCTTGGCCTAACAAATTTTTACAGTCGCTAGTAATAGGCTCGGTCCCTTTGGGTCCCTTCATCTTCTGATGCTCCTTTTTCTTAATATAATTTTCAACTGCTTTATTTAACAAATCTTCCACTTCGGGATGAATATTACTTGCCTGTTCCAGCGATAACGGATATTTTCGAGATGTAAGGCGTCACCATATATCTATTTTGATGGATTGAGGAAGCTGGTTAAGTTGCTTCAAGTAATATATGTGAAAAGATGGTGTTAGTATGCCAGTCATTTCTTATAGATAATAAAAAAATTCTGAGAATTTAATTCTACGCATTCAGGGAATTCTTAGAAATTTACGCGCCAATATCGCGAGTTGCGTCACATCTGGTAGGAGATTGGTTAGGCACTGATCGCGTGATCAATGATCACTAACGTTTTTATCACATGATACAGATAGCAAATTCGTTGTGTTTGCTTATCTTCCAATTTCGCAACTCTGGCCTTAAGCTCAACATTCTCGGCCTTAAGCTTTGCTAATACATTGTTTCAACGAATCAGTCTCACCAGGACCATCTATTTCAGATTACATGCTTGCGTAATGTAGTATTAGTATGTTAATATTCAAAAATAAAAAATCATGTGATTTTGGGCGAACTGAGTTCGCTGAAATTTTGCCAAGAAAATTTTTATTAGTACACGAAGGTATATTTGTGAAATAGACCACGCGGGTCAGTTTTATTATAATTCAAATAATAATAGTACATCTATGGCCGAAGGCGCTAAAGCTAAAGAATAGGCTCATCTATAATTTCACGGAACTTGCCAGTGACATCGCGAAATCTAGCACTCATCCTCACATTTTTAAACTCCCTATCATGCCAGAAATGGACGACATTTAACCCCTTTTCCTGAAGCTTCCCGCATGGCCAATATGGATTGGATACAATGTAATCTTCACGGGAGAAGTGTACGATCCAAATTTCTCGAGGTTGGAGTTGCTCTTCGTACTTAAACACTTGCTCAAAATGTCCATCCAATTTCGAAATTGATGCCGTTGCCAAGAGTTCAAGAAGAGCTTCCAGATGAGGACTTTCAGGCTTCTTTATAGTTAGGTCGCAATAAAGATGATGGTAGTCCCCGTCATCACAAACTTGTTCGAGATGCCACTGGCCAGTGATTTCGTACCCATGAACCTTTCTTAACCAATTTACTAGGACCCGGTACATCTCAGCATCGTATGTACTTTCTCTTGGAACTTTGATATAATGCTCGGAGTTTACATACAAGTGATTTGAACTTTTGTATGAACGGGAGGAACCTAGAGCTATTATACATACCTTGGTCGAAATCACGTACTGCAGTCTTTAAAATCTCCAAAATATCTATAGAACTATCATCCCGCAATGGGATATCTGCAGAAACATATAGGACTTTGCTAATACTTCGTTTTTTAGCAATAGGGGCGGAAAGAACTAACGAATCTGATTTTGAAGGGACCGGCTTCTTTACCACCTCTTCTTGTAGATTAGAAGTATCGACTAAAGGTTTGCGACCTTTTTTCCCATCGACCTATAAAAATAGATAAATTTGACCCCTCAGTAATAAATCATCATTGGGGTAATAAAATAAAAAATAATATTTTTAGAATAGTACCCTCAAATGAAATGAGAAAAAAAAAGAAATAATAGGCCCAAACATGGAATATTACTCAGTATACTTTTATCAAAAGGAAAGTACATAACCGAATCCTCCTCCAGAAACAGTAGACCTTTGTCAAAAAGTATCGCAAAATAATTTCACAACATCTAACAGAATGAATATATTAAAGTACTGCAATAACCGAGGGCTTGTATATCCCCAAGCGAAAGCTTCTTGTACCTAACATATCATATCTGAAAAATGCGTGTTTAGGCCTACAAAACAGAAAACACATACCTTTTTCTTAAGTAAGAGATTTCTAACGACTTTGTGAATCTCCTGCGAGGTCATCGGATCATCACGAAAAATATATAACGTATTGTAAAAAACCGTATGTGCCTCATTTCTTTCGGTAGGCCCAAACATATTAGTCGACCAGGATATAAAATGTTGAATAGACCATACTCCACACGGAAAGAGCCAAAAATATTCGATTTTTCCTTTTTCGAGGGCTCTTGTTTTCTCTTTTAATATCTTAGCTTGTTTTTCAAGCTTCATAGCAGGTCCTCGCTTTATACCATCCTTCATGAACTTTCTTTCGGTCATGTCTGGGAAAGTTTGGCCATCAATTTTCTGCTTACGAAGGATCTTGAAATCGTTCTCATCAAGATTTATGTCCAGGTCACGTAAAAAAATAATAAGGGTCTCAGTATCCCAGTTTTCGACCAAAGTAACGCGGTTTGAAGAAGTTATAGAAGTGGACATGATTTATTAGCTGTTAGAAGTAAATAACACAAAAAATAAGAAATACATATAACGAACCTACCCTCTATGATTTGCCTTTTTATAAATAAAAAACACGCTAGAGTTTGTTTTTTAGCGAAAGACGCGTATATTTTGTGTTTTATAACAATGCAGGTCTCACAAATTGGCATATTGCTATTTTAGTGTTATCAGCATTACGTTCTCAGTAGCTAATCCAGAATAGGAAGATCATAATTTTTATCTTGCATAAGCTCGCACAAGCATAGTTGTACATCTCCCTATAAAAACTAAAATATACTTAAAATATATTTAAAATATATTTAAAATATATTTTATTAAATATTTTTTAAGTAATTTTAAATATGTTTTAATAATATTTAAGTATGTTTTAAATATATACTTAAAATATACTTACTCATTACCTAAATTAAGTATTTTTTAAGTATATTTTAAATATAAAATAATAATATTTTAAGTAGATTATCACAAATATAATTAAGTATATTTTAAATATATATTTTAATAATATTTTAAAGTATTTTTTAAATATGCATATTTCTTATAACAGTCACTATGCATGTCCAATGATCAACATGGCAACTGCTTCAATAGTATATCAATTTTTTCAGATCTATAGTAAAAAAAGCTAAAATTTTATATTGTTCAAATTGTATCAACTGATCTAACTTCTGTACCACCAAAATGCTACTATCAAAAAATGTGGATTCAGGTTATATGCACCTGTTCGCAATATTAAAATTTTAAACCATTTTCTCTAGCATAAGAATGAATGGTCCTAAGTTGAAATCGTGAATGAAATCGTGAACGAAATTGTGAACTTATAAAACCAATTCCATAAGTTAAATTTTGATAGTTTTGTTAAATTTTTAACAAATATGAATACAAATAACAATAATACAGATGAATTTAATGAAGAAGAAACCTTTATTTTTGAATATGACCATGATAACTTTCTTGAAACATACCAAATAGCAGAAAATAATTATATCGATTATGAGGTAGATGAAGAATATGATACAGAAGCAGCACATGTAGCAAATGAAATAGAAATAATAGACTCTGTAGCTTCTAGTAATAAATTAGAAGATGAAAATTATACGATACCACAAGAAACACAAGGGAAACTTACAGCTTGTTGTATTATGGATTATGAAAATAAAAGTTTTCAAAAGTGTGGAAGTGAAAAAAAATTACAGAAATTATCTCAGCTAATTGGAATTTGGAAATTGGATAAGGAAGTTATCAATAGCGTAGAAAAAGATTTTTCACGTCTTGGAATTTGCATGTTACACTTTAATTATAATCAGTGAATTTATGATAAAAAAGCAAAATCTATTACTTCGATAGAAGAAAGTAAACTTCATTATGGACGTTGTATTTTTTGTATGAAGCATTTTTACTATTTTAGCTATGGAAAAGGTTGCTATAAACATTCTAGGCTTATTCAAGAAAAATGTGTTCAAATAGCTTATATTGGACAAATAAAATGTACTGCATTACACACAAGTAAAAAAGTGTGCAAGCTAGCCTTTAATAAAATTATTTGACCACGATATATTTGTGTTAAATGTTATGAGCAACATGGAGGTCATACAACTATTAGATGTGACAAAGGACGGCGAATTGCAAACTGTAATGAAAATGGATTGCACAATGATAATATCACAATTGGCTTTGAATTAATGTCAAAATTGCTAAATAATATTACACAATTACAAGATGAAAACTTTAAAAAAAAAATTTTAATTTCTTTTTCAAAAAATATTCTGATTTTTCTACTTCAAGTAATCAACAAGAAACATTTTCGCCAAGTCCCTTTGTATTACATATCATTTTAAAACTTAATCAAATTAATTTAGATTTTTCTCAAATACAAATTAATGAAAACACTAGTTCTTTATTAGGCAAAAAATTTGCTTAAAAAATGTACAATTATTATAATGAATTAAAAATCAATAAACTCAAATTACAAAATCCTAAATCACTTAATGAATATCAAAATTTATTTTCAAAATTTCTTGTGAATTTTTTTTCAAGTTATCTTAATTATATATATATACAAAAATTAAAAATTATTAATATAAAACAACAACAAAGACAAAAAAATATAGAAAATATTCAAACAATCAATACTGATAAAATCAATAAAATTCTAACACTTTTAATATCTTGGCTTACTCATATTCCATTTTCTTCATTAAATCTTTGGATTCCAAGATTACTTGTAAGTTTAAGTAAAAAACCAAAATGCTATTTAAGTTTCGAGATTTTTTATCAGTTGTTAAAATTATAAGTTATACAGATGGATATGAATAAAGATTAGAAAAAAAAAATAATGAAATCAGTTATACCAGCAGAACAGTTGAAAAATAATTCCAATATTTGAAATGTTGCTATTATAGATAATATTGATTTTAAAGAAAAAACTTTTTATTATGGAAATATATTTAATTCTACACGAGAAATATCCCATACTACTTTAAGAATAACTTTTCAAAATTATTTACCTTTACAATTTGAAGATTCCACTGAAAATACAATAGACCTAACAAGAGAAACTATTTTATTTGAAATAAATGAAAGATGTAAAGACATAATTAATTCATGAGATATAATATTAGATGAATTATTACAATTCAAAATAAATAACAATGAAAAAATTACTTATAATACGAATTTTGATATTTCTGAAATTAGACAAAAATTAATGGATAGTTTAGAAACAGGATGTTTTTGTTCTCCACCTAATATTGTAATTATGGATGCAGGTGGGATTCCTAATTCTGACGAAGGAATTTTTGAATTAGTAAAAATGTATGAAAAAGATTTTCAACTAAAAAAAAATCAATATTTGGATATTTGAACTGATGAAGTGATATTTCGTCGATTAATCAAATTGAAAGAAATGTGGCCCAACCTGAGACCATTATTAAGTCAATGGCATCTATCCAAGGATATGATATTTGTATTAATTACTCTTTTTTCTAGTTATGATATATTTGATCTTGCACTTGTATTGGGGTAAAATTTTTAAATAAACTTGAAGCAGTTATTAATTATCGAGCATTATTACGTGTTATAGAATTGATCTGGGTAGCAGTTGCAATTGCAATTCGTATCCATTTAAAAAAAAATAATGAAAATCAAATTAATCTTAATAATAATCAAAATATAATTTTAAAAATTTGATACCTTTTTTATCAATGGGGTGGAATTTTTTTAGTACATTGTTTTGAAATTAAATTAGATAATTTTGATATTCAAAAGGATACTTTATCAGCATTTAGTCCATTATTTCCTGTAGCTGGAAAATTAAATTATACTTTATCAGTAGTTCATTTTTATGCAATTTTAAAAAAATATCCTATATTAGAAGAAAAATTACGATACATAGCTTCAGTAAAAATTTCTGATAACAAAAAAAGACATTATTTTGTGTATGATGAAGCATTGGAAACTCTAAGTGTTAAATTTGTAAAACAAAATATTACCAGAAATGTAATTAATCAAGATAATTTAAAAATACAAATAGGTGCAGCACAAACTGAATATGACTGAATTGAAATATTACTTTCCGAATTCCTTGATGATCCTATTACTTCAACAAGCTTACGTGCAATAGACCAAAGAAAAGAGGTGATGTGGAAATTGATAACTAAGTTGGTTAATTGTTTTGATAGTTCTGATCAAGATAATCTATTTAAAATTACTAGATTAAAAGAATTACATCCAGTAGGAGTTGACCGTCTTCAAAAATGCTATGACAAAGGTTTAATTAGAATGAAAAATTTATTTGAAGAGGAGGTTTTAAAATGTAAGCCATAAATAAAAAAGGTAGAAGAGCATTAGATATTTTAAAGACAACGATTAAACAAATAAATGAAGATAAAAAATTAAAAAAAAAGAACAACACAACCAATAAATTTGAAAATTCCAGAAACACAAAGTTATCTTGAATTCACTCTTAATACTACATCAATCATCAATGAATTTTTACCGAACATACATGAGCGTCTTACAGATCTATCTCAGGAGCAATCTTCCAAAAGACAAAAAAGGTTTAGTACAGAAGAAGAAAAAAGAATTTTAGAATTAGATAAATTTAACTCACTTCCACCCGAAGAAGAATTAAATAAAATTATTTTAACTTTAAATGAACTTTCAAATATACCTGCCACCCAAATTCAAAATCCAAATGCCGAAATCCCAAATGCCAAAATCCCAAATCCCAAATCCCAAA